TGTGCTGGTTGCAGATCTTTCTTAGATTCGCAATGTAGCTTCTTAATCTGGCTTTCGTAAAATAATTAAAGAATTTACACTAAAAGGACAAATAAACGACATCAATTACTGAAGCTAGTAGTTAATTTATTATAGTATTATTAGGACTCAGACATCATTCTTATTATTATTAATTTTGTTACTTTATATTCTTTAATAGCACGCTGCATACTGTAATAATTTTATTCTAAATAGGGTATTGTTATTTTAAATGTTTAAGTTACGGATCAAATACTTATTATTCTTTTTAGTTTTTGTCAAATAGGCATAGCCATCTTCCTCTTCACAGGCTCCAGCTGAAAATCAGCGCTGTGGCTCTGCCCAGCATTAAGCTGAGCTGGCTAGCCTTTTCGGCTATTGTTACGTGTTTATTCTTTCATTTAAATTTAGATTAATATTTTTTTTTTGTATATTTATTTGTAATAGCCGAATATAAAAATTTCTTTCTTTGTTGTGGTTTTTAACGACTTTTTTGCCGTAGCCCCATCTGTTAGAAATCTATTTCTTCACTCAGACACGTACCGTTAGAGCTACCAGCAGCTGACTGGAGATGTCGTTTTAATAACTGTAATTATGTTTGTTGAATGTCACGATGGTCCACCACCATAATATTCATTTTTTAAATTACTTAATTAAAATAGTTTGTTATAATTATTAATACAAAGATGTTTTAATAATTATAAAGCACTCAGAACAAATTCTACGTGTAAAGTGCCTGGATTCGAACCAACGACTTCTAGCAAACCAAGCCAATGTTTATTATTATATAGCGGTTAATAAAAGACATTTACAATCTGCTATTCTACACTCATGGACATATTTAGAGGATCGCTGAAGAAATGTTGAATTATGATGACAATGTCAATTTGAATTACTGGTCACATTTACCGGAAAGTTTCATTTGAAAAAAGAATGACTTAAACGTCTTTTGATTTCGAATAAACGTTCTAGTATACGAGTATGTGGCCAATGGTTGATATCATCGAGTATATAACCAGAAATACAGACGAAATAAGGGCCATATGTTACTGGTAACACATTAGCGATACAGCTCTTGTAAATATCAACTCTCGTTTGCACTGAAATATAGACAGGCCAATTACTGACCAGTGTGAACGTCTCCGTATATTCCAAAAAATATTCTGTATTAATTGTAATAAAGATAATTATCTCTAACAATGCCGTGCTGTTCTATTCGGTGGTGTGGGAAAAACATCCAATTACAAAACAAATGGAATCATATTTCATCGGTAATTAAATATTAAATATGTAATTTTGCAATTTTCGTCCATTATAGCAAAGCTCAAGTTAACTGGTCGATTTGAAGTGAAACAGTTGACGACACCTATTGACGACACCCGTCAATTGTTTCGAACTCGCGCTGGCTAATCGGAGCGCAGTTGTCACAATAATGATTGGCAGAACAGTTTTCAAACAAATTAAATGACATTTCGTCTCTATTTCTGGTTTTATACTCGATGGTTCGTATAAATGTTGTTATCATAGTTGAACTTTTTTTTGTAGCGTTACTATACTGGATAGATTGCGTTTGGATTCCACTTTTCATTTAACACCAGGTGGAGTAGAGTTATTTGCCTGACATGTATAAAAAAAAAGAGCGTTTGCCCACTACTTCATATTCGTATCAATTCCGAATCCGAGAAATGACGGTCCCAAATGTCACAGGTGTCCGAAATGTTTATTTTATCTCTACGTGTACAAGCGACATTCGTATTTTCTTGGATTTAAAACGGACTTAGTGCACAAGCGACATTCAAAGTGGGTCCGAGTTTTCTAGATTTATATACTCTCTTTATAGATTTGTTTTATGTATGACATCAAGTAACGGGACGTGCAATTCGTGCGTCTGGTGGTAAGCGACACGTCTGTCCTTAGCAGTTGCATTGCCACACAGAGCTTTAAATCTCAAAGTTCTAAGCGGCACTACCATTACCTTGAGACATAAGTTGACAAGTCCAATGTGCCTGTAATTTCACCATTTATTTCACCCTTCCCTGGACGAACACTTTCAAAGAAGTTCTGTGTATACACAAATGACTGGACTGAAATGGCCGGAGTTATCGCGTAACATATATACAAAAAACGGAAAAGAAAAAACAAACAATCGAATTGAGAACCTCCTCCTTTTTTGAAGTTGGTTAAAAACTAATTTGCCTAGAGAAATGGTAACAAACAAGAAAGTCAATATATAATTTTTACGAATACCGTTAGGAAAGAATTTTATAATCCCCACAGTGATCGCTACAAGGAAAAGATTACCCAAAATACCATGGTGAGAAAGTTCCAATTAAAATAACAGTTCTCAGAACTTTACATTTTAGATTTTTTTTAAATCTGCCTTTCTAAACATAATGACGTCATGTTCGCATGTTAGTAAACTTGAGTTGACAACAAGCCCGGCTTAACACTTTGAAAGGTCCTAACGTAATTTTTTTTTGTTTTAATATCGGACGGACAAGTCGTGCGTCCTCTGGTGATAAAATATTCATTTAATACAATGTAGTATTTTATTATCTTTACACACCTACAGAGCAATAAAATACGAACACGTATAGAAAGTCTTCAACAATAAATAATATACATTTTCTAAAGTTTCAATTGTACAGAAATTGTAAACACATAATTTTCATTTCTATTATTTTATTTATTAACAAGACTTACAACAGCTTTCTAATTATTCTGGAACATGCATTATTTAGAAATGCTCCCTGTGAGGTATGAATTGACGAGTACTGGTTTAAGAGAGCAGTGCCTGTCACTGTGCTGAAAAGGCGAAGGCGACGTTACAAAAAATCATATGTATGCATGTACTCTTAGGCTGCTAACAGATTGTTTACAGTTAAGGCGTGAAGTCGTTAAGCGAGACCTCCACTGCATGCAGTCGACATTTTGCACCGAGATCGGCTGCATGCAGTTAATGCGTGTAGTCGTTATCAACTTCATGAAGTCGTGTTCGCGGCTGCATGAAGTTGATTACAACTTCTCGCATTAACTGCAAACATGCAATCAATCTGTTAGTAGCGTTAAGAATGTCTGTTACTGCTTTTCATTCTCGGACTATTGTTCACACCGACTGCACACAACGCTTGCAGTTGAAGTATCAACTGCACGCATTAAGACACGCAGTCCATCTGTTAGCAGCCAGACTACTCGTAAAATTCGAGGTCTCCATAGTATCAATAGACTGTCGAATTTGACTATAGGTTTACAACACTAACTAGGGAAATCTCATAGAAATAATCCATTCAACGGTTACCATGCCGGACTGTCACGCAGACGTCCCTTTGGGTGGAGGTGACTTTGGGTGTAATTTGTGGTTGTCTATGTGTGTGTCCTTGGCACCCGCGACACAGGGTTTCCCTAGTGCGGGGCTATGTTGACTGTGTGCGTTATTATTATTATTCAAAAAATGTATGGAGCATCAAGACCCATGTTAAACTGCCTTTGTTCAACACTTATTTGGTCATAAGGAAACCATTAATGTACAGGCGGCAGACTGGTTTTACGTTTATTGACATAAGAAGCGCAGGAATAAAGTAAGTTATATGCAAATAAGATGCAAAGAACAGAGGACAATACCGATTTGGAGGTCGAAATTCGGTAAAGTAGAAACGCATTAAATTATATATACGCACCCACAGATACACAGTATAATATTATTTCCTTATCTTATACACAGTAAACAAAGTAAGTAGTAAACTTTTCAGATCTGTCATTTTAGTTTTTACAGACTTATTATAAGCTTTGATCGGAATGGAGGGTATAACGTGGACATTCCTTTTTGGAAATCCCAAACCTTCTCAGAACTGATTATATTTGAATATGCGTATTATTTATTGAAATTTAAGTACATTGACGACGATTGATTATTTCCTATTAAGAGTCGATATATAGATATAACAGTGAAAGTGTTGAATTAATCACTTGAAAAAAATATATAGTACAATTGAGGATATATAATACTATACAGTGTGAAAACATGATTCCCAAACATTTTCACGAAAGAAAAATAACACAAACTTACCTCGAAATTTGACAGGAAATTTGGTAGGTACTTCACATATACCAATGATTTTTTCATATTAACTGAACTAAATAGCACCAGTACAGTGTACGATATACATTTTTCAAATGGATTTCATTTTTGAAATAAAGCCAGCGTGCCTGACGCTCGCAAAATGAACCGTATTAGTACGGGAAAAATTTGAATTCCAGCTAAGGTAATATAGACTCTTAGGTATTCGCTATAAATTATTGTCTGAATAAATGATATAAGAAATGCATATTTATTTTAAAAACTTATCAACAAAATAATACACATATCTAAACTACGTTGCACAGCTAGATACATAAAAAAAGTTTATAAATAAAAATTTCGTCGAGGACCCTACCCTGGGGAATCGTGCCCAGAAGGCATGCATCATTTCCCATTTGAATTACTCAACTTATTCTTTGGCGGAAATAGCTGCCAGGCTTGTGGCTTCTAGGAGACGATCCGAGAACTCTTTTCGCTAATAATAATAATATTGTAGTTGTGTTTTTACAGGTATTTACATATTTAAAAACTTTAGCCATTTAAAAAATAAACATGAGACAACCTATATTTTGGAATGTTTAGAATAGAAACCGTAAAAAAAGAAATTTTATACGCATTGATGACGAAATGGGTATGTCCATATTAAGAAAACGTTCATACTTTAGGTAATTTAACTACCTCAATTCCGATATTCCGATCACTGGTTATAAGAAATGAGCATTTAAGTGTCAATAAGGTCGTTTATCAATTGAACATTACGTTAAAAATTGTATTGTATTCTGCCTATAGATTCTAAGACTCGTGTTTGTTTACCGCTCTGAAATATGGGAAGAAAAATAAAAACTAATGCCGTGTAATACAATAAACGGTAATAAGGATAAATAGATAATTTTTATTCATTTACCTAAAGCAGTTTGTCTCTCCTCCTTGGGCAGAGGCATGGTAGGCAGCGGATTGTTCTGCTCGTCTCTGTCGCCGAGGAACTCCGCTTCTGCCAGGTCACGCACTGCCGACGACATCAGCTCTACCAGCTCTTGGTTTCTGTTGGAGTTCAATGGACAGGGTGTTCCATAACAATGTACATATGGCGATACTTTTAAACATTTTGGTAACTTTATTTTGTAGCAGTAGAGCTCCTTGTAAAAGAGTTCGTCCAGGGAAGTATTGCCACCTTATCTATTTCTGCCGCCAAGCAGTAACGTTATCATTACTGCGTTCCAGTTTTGAAGGGTAAGAGTGAAATTACAGGCACATGGGACTGGTCAACTTATGTCTCATGGCGCAGTGGCGGTGCCGGTGAAATGACCACGTGCTTGACTGAATTAAACTTATTTTTTATTTTATCTTGTTATAACCTTTTTTGTTCGTTAGTTTGACTTATTTTATGCATGACTTTTTTTTAATTTATTGGATGGTTTACAAAATTGAATTGTATTTTCTTAATATGATCTACGGACTGTAATAAACAATTCTTATTATTTCTTCTATGAAGCCAAGGTAAGCGTAGTCTACCAATTCAGACCTCTGGTATTAAGTCAACAAAATTAATTATTATAGCTAAGGCCGTTATTCTTTAGAAACAGCGATGTAACTAAGATGGTACACACTCGCCTTGAAATGCTTGTTTAACTTGACCTTGAGAGGCGAAGGTCGCATAGTTCGAGAAAAACGGCACACGAGGTAGAGGTATGGGAAGTCAGTTTCCGAACTGTACACTCACCCACAAAAGCTACACAAGGTGGAAAAAATTATAGGGACATAAAATTAAAATAGCTAATTTTACTTAAAGGAAACATTCTTTCATTTTTCTTAATTTGAGTAACTGCATTCGCAGATTTTTTGAAAAGCTTGCCTAGAATACTAGCCAAGCTTTTAGTGTTAGAGTCAATAGATAAAGATAAGCAACATACATTAACATTAATATTAGATTCCATGGACGTTTTTATTTGCGAGACCCAATGTTCATTAGAGAAATTTCATACATACATCGATTCTATCTATTATACAATAAAATAGTGAGTGTTTCTTTTTCAATTCTTCGTTGGTCCGATTCCCGGGTTATACTTTTAAAAAAATTTGTGTACGCACTTATTCGTAATAAGAAAAATAAAATAATGTATACTTAAAGAAAAATTTGTTAATTCCAATGATCATTTATAAGATCATTGGTTAATTATTTCATGTCTCATTGATTTTTTTCCTTTCGTATTCGTTGTTCGTTTGAAAGATTATGATCGGACAATAAGTTCTAAGCAATATTGCATCTTTTGACCACACCTAACCTCATATTAAATACTGCACTTTGTTGTGAATTAATTATGACGTTTTGTGTAAAAACGATTAGAGAAGCATTCCCCGCTTGCGAGTCTTGTGGTGCAACGTTTAGAATGCACGTGCGCAAAGTTTCGGATCGTTAAATATTAACAAAAGCGACAGCAATCTCTTTTGGAGCGACGGAATAAATTTAGAAACAAAAAAGGACAAATATGATAGATGATACGATCGCATGGTGTACCTACTTCCAGCTGTTGAACGTTTGTGATGATCATGTGATGATACAGAAAACATTATTCTCAAAGGCGTTCCCATTATGTCGTCTCGACACATAGTCGTGCAGTTTAAAGGGTCGTGGCTTGTATATTTAAATGAACTTGTTCACATATAGTAAAAGTCGTTCACAACTTTTTTGACGTTACGACGACAGACTGTCGTGATAATAGAAAGAGCTAGAACTACAGTCGTCTGACGATAAATAAAACGTCATGGTAAAAATGTGACGACAGATAGTCGTAGCTTCAAACGATTCTGTCGTGCAAACGACAAGGCGGCTGTTGAACGTAAATTGTCGTCACGGTCTAGTGGGAACACGACAATCGTTCAACGATAAAATAAACGTCCACGACAGTCACGACAGATAGTCGTGATTGGGAACAGGCTAGACGCGACAGTCTTACAACGACAAATAAAACGTTACGACATAATGGGAACGCGCTCTCAGGTGAAATTGACCTGCTAAGGGCAAGTGCTTATTGGTTTGATGTTACGATTTCAAGAATAATTTGATTACCTACAACATATTTGATTGATCGATTGAGTTTTGAGCTCAGTTTTTTTTTTACAAAATTGTTATAATTATTAGAAGTAAGAGGCAAGAATCTACAAGAATTCCCAATAGTAGAATAACGACAGAATCAACTAATTATATTGGGTACGAACTATAGGCAAATGTAATTCAAGGATAACGGGCTCGCGAACTTTCTCCTTTATTATTCGTGAGGCGCACGCACTTTCACTACTTTCTACCGGGATCAACACCATTGCACTTGAACCTGTATTCCAACCAACAGACAACAGAGGTAGCATTGAATACATAAAAACTGTGTTCGGGGCCGTACTTAACGTGTAATAATAATTACCTGAACATCAAACATCGGAACTGGCTGACTATGTTTACCTAAACCTCAAGGAAATAATACACATAGAATAGACAACACCTTTTGCAATCCTGGAATAAGAAATGGATTAATTTGCTACTCCACGAACCCACTGAAGCTTAAATTGTGCAAAACAGCTTGTGCTGAATTTTTTTTCATACAAGTCCACAATTAACTGATTGTCCCTATTTCTGCCGCCATGCAGTAATGTAAACACATTACTGAGTTCCGGTTTTGAAGGTTATAAGGTGTTGGTGAAACTACAGGCACATGGGACTTGTCAACTATATGTCTCAGGGTGACGGGCGCAATAGCCGTGCTCAGGCAGTGACAGGCCTGTCGCTTGCCACCAGGCGCACAACTTGTTCGTCGCGTCACTTGATATCATTAAAAAAAGTATAGGTATAGAAGTAAAAACAGAATTTCTGTCGAAGCAGTGAAAGAGCGCCGACTTAGCATTTGCCTTAAGTGTTCTAGCGTGGCAGACTAAGTTTTCTATCTGTCCATTGTATGGGGTCTGGGGTCTCGACACCAGAGCGCGATACTGTCTTACGCCGTTACAGTATGTTAATAAAAACCTTATTTTTTGCGACGTAGATATTTCTACCCCTGTACTGTTTACCCTCCTTTAGGCTGCCTTGTTGTAATGTACAAAAACCTTTTAGTGATTATTGAGGAGTAATGGGAAGATCAGGTTTAAAGTAAAGGAAAAACTAGCTGAAACAGAAACGAACGAACTATAGACAAAGAATACTTACAAACAATGAGTAATAGAAATTAAAAAGTATTTATATCTGCCCCATCCTGTGGCCGATCCGCAACAGTGTTTTCGCGAGATCCTAAATCCTAGAGAATTCATTCTGAGAAATCCCCATTGATGTCAGTCGGTCAAACTCCCACATAAACTACACCACATCTATTCGCACATCCAAGCGGAAGCCGACCTTCTGAATAAAATAATGATATTTATTTACTTTAAATATGGATTAGGAAAGGTGGTATAGATATAGGATTGCCTACTGACTTATCATTTCTGGGACAATTGTATTAAGGTAAGGGAAACTAAAACTAATTTGTCAGATGGCCAGCTACTAATTTCATAGCATACAGTCATAACATGGCCGTAACATTGTTTTCTACCATGCTTTAAGAGAATCCAGGACAGTAAAGTCTAATTACTGGACACGGGACAAGACGAAAAGTTCCGGGACAATACCGGATTTCCTGACCGTCTGGCAAGCCTGTATACACATCACATGTCAAAGCTAATCAATACCGTCACTAAACAAAAAAGTACCTAAAGTATTGGAACATAGCGTTTAAAATTTCTGTAAATAAGTTTCAATTTGAAAAAAGGAGACTTTCGTTAAGAGGGAGCATGCCAAAAAGGTTTTGACGTTGGCTCCGCCCAAATTTGTGACACAAATATATGCCTGAAGTTCGCGTGACATGCAACAGGAGATGTTGAATTTTGCGCATTAAAAGTACCAAATTCGTTTTAGCGGAATAACACTAAAACTAAAGGGATTAAAAAAATCCGTAGTGACAGTTGTCGATCATGTAATTATACATACATATAATTATCTAATTTTTGTCCTAATAACCTGTAGCATTTCGAGTATAAATCGAAAAAATGTGAAAATTAGAGGTCATTTCGTAATTTTTATCTATCGAGGAAACTTTATTGTTTTATGTTTCTGATTAAATGTCTATGCTTGAATATATCGTGTAGTTACTCATACAATATTTTATTTTTAACTTTAAAGTGAATGTATCTACCCCTCTAAAATCAAATCGAAGATTAGGAATTTTTTCTCTGCTCCCTCTTAAGAGACGATATCTTTTTGAACTTGCGATATGCACATAATAAGCTAAACTTGATATTTAAACAAAATTGGCACGCATTATGGTCACCAGCTTTCACCAACCGCACATCTACACCAAGTAACGGCTCAAATTACATAATTACTCAATTCAAAAGGTGTTATGAAATTTTGAATGTATCAAAACCGGTATAGGTATCCAGTTGCAAGTCCATTAAACATTACGTTTCGCAGAATATCACCATATTACAAATATGAACTGGAATTTGAATTTCAAATGTGATGTTGATAGTTATTGATAGTGACATGGCATGTTCTTTCATTATCATTCATATAATTTCATAATCATCCATCATTCATGTTCTTTGTTGGTTTTGACACTGCTTTAGTGCGTAGACGGAGGCATAATTGTTTGTAATAATTTTAGTGTTAATGCACTAAAAACTACCTACTTTCTGCCGTGTTGTGACAACATATTAATTTTTTAGACACTATGTTTATGTTAGCAAACGGAGAATCGAGCTCTTCGTATCTGCTACTGCTTTTTAGTAGACGCAATGGCGGTGCCCCTCATAACTTTGCGTTTAAAGCTCTGAGTGGCACTGCAACTGTAATGGACAGTCGTGTCGCTTTCTACCAGACCCACAACTTGTTAGTCTCGTCACTTGATATCAAAAAAAACCTAATAATAGAAGTCCCATAGTCGCTTTTTCTGTTATTTGAAGTGTTGGGACGGAACGAACAAGTCGTTGGCCTGATGGTAAGCTTTAATAAGTTCACTGTCCATGACTCCACTTGGAGTCGCAAATTTGGTTCAACCATAAGTTCACGCTTACCTATGGATACACTACTTCAGTGTTAAATATTTTGGTTAGATATTTTTAAACTTATGAATTTGGTAATCTTTTATACGTGTAATTTTTCAAAAATAACTTACTTTGTTGTAGATATTAAAATGTGAGAGTAACACTCAAAACCAACTATTTCACACAAATGCCGGTAGATTTTAGGGGTTTGATTTCGGCATTTATATGAGGGATTGTGAACGTGGTAAATCGCAAAGATCTCAAGTGCCACATAAAGGTCCAAACATAAAACTGCGAATTCACAACGCAGGACTTTGCGACGCGAATTGTTTATCTCTAAAGGCATCTCACAGCCACGGTTCGGGTAACCATTCCTTGTCATTAACCGTACTGAATGTATCTTTTAAACTAGGTAACGGCATGGTTCGTAAAAAGAGTGTTACACTCATGTTATTGGTAAGAAAGTATAGGAATAAAAACACAAAGAAAATTAACGCGTCTCACGAGCTCGTACAATTCTGCGACGTCGCATCGCAGTTTTGTGTTTCGACCCCAAAGTCGACAAGTCCAATGAGACTGTAGCTTCACCAGCACCTTTCAATGTTTGGCAGCAGAAATAGGCACGGTGGCAGTACTTCCCTGGACAAACTCTTTCACAAGGACCACTATTGTTATTAAAACATATTTTATTATCTAAGTTATATTTACCTCAAGTTAGCCAGCTCAGAACAAGCGTTAGCCAGCAAATAGTCACCACTGAGCAGCGCGATCTTGTTGCCGAACAGCATGTCTCCAGGGTCCACGTCCATAGACAGCTGGCGCGAGTTCATGTTCACCAAGCCTTTGTGAACAAGATGCGATGTGCGGATCATTTCTGTTACTTCTGCTAGGGCGCGTTGGCTGTAAGGAAATGTTAGGACATGAGTGAAGGCGTCCACTTTATTTAAAAGGGGGATAATATTCAGAGAAATCGTAGCCGTTCGTAACTTTCCATATACAATATTATTTCCCTCAATTCCCCTTAGCAGAGATAAGTTAGATACTCTTTTCAAAGGGCCTAAACAACCGTACACAGTATGCCTACAAAAAATTTCTAGTACAAAAATACTATTAACCGCAACCGGGGACTCTCGACACATCATCTCGAAGCTTCAAGAAAATATGCATAGTCATTCGAAAGCAACAGATATGCAGAAAATGACTTATAACAAATGTACATGGTCAAGAGTATGTCAAATTTCATACCTAAGATTTAAAGTCAACTGTATGCCTACGTCGCCCGCGGCGCGAGAAAAGTAAACAGGCGAAAGTAAGAAAGCACGCAAGAAAGTAACAAAACGGTATTGCCTTCCAACATCATTCATAATTGCACGATTTGCACCCGAATTTCCGATTACTGGGGAAAATGTAAATATATAAAATATAGGTAACTATAAGCACTCCATTCTGAGCGCGTGCCCACTAGAGGGCACCAGGGCAGGGTTTGTAGTGTCTGAACCCCGGCTTGGTTTAAAGTTGCAACGGAACCCGAATGAGCCCAAATGTGAGTATCGTGTGATCCCGGGACTGGACTGATTGTACTCGGGCACTACATGGGCTAGCGCAAGGGCGGCGCTACGCTTACGATAAGAACGGTCCAAAACCCAAAGTATCAAACTTGATATGCTCTCGACTGTACCTAGGTTGACCTAGATTTTTGTGTCTATATCAATAAGATGAATAATATAGTTGGCCTTTGAAGGGTTTTTTTTAGAATATCAAGTAACGGGAGCAAGTTGTGCACCTGATGGTAAGCTATACGCCAGTCCATAACAGTTGCAGTGCCACTCAGAGCTTTAACTCGTAAAGAACTGAGTGGCACTTCCACTGCGCCCATCACCCTGAGACGTAAGTTGACAAGTCCCATGTGCCTGTAATTTCACCAGCACCCTTACTCTTCAAAACCGGAACGCAGTAATGTTAACATTACTGATTGGCGGCAGAAATAGGTAAGGTGGCAGAACTCTACTGCTGCTAAAAATAACGTTACATTACGTTCGACACATAACGTTATGTTAATAACGCAAATTACTTTCCTAAACTTTATAACAATGTAGGTAGCCGCTTTCCTTTGAAACACGATTTCGTGAAGCCTTACATTTACGAGTGTTGTAATCTTCGATCTCGTCACAGAAATGTGTCTGGACCCCGCTATTCGTATGAAATACCTGCTACACAATAACATCGTAATTTGAATAAAACATCAAAAATACAATGGTGTTATAGAAGCGATGTTACCTGTGCAACACTCCAGCAGCCTTATCCTGTTCCATATCTGGGATCTCAGAGCTGTGGCCCGCCGCTTTCGATATGAGCAGCACGATGAGGCCCCAAGCTTGCATGTTGTTCTTGCCATTGTAGATTAGGTTCCTGTGATGGTAATCATTTATTTTTAAACTAGACATTAATGTAACGACTTACTATATCTTTAAAATAATTTTGAAGAGTGTTCTCGTCCAACAACTTAAAAAAAAATTTAACAACTTTTGCACTACAAAAACCAAAAATTTTGTACTGTGACTCTTATTTTTGTTCTAAATTTACTTGCACACTTTGTGTAAACCTTTTTACACAAAGTGTCCGAGTAACACACTGCACACTTTCACATCTGCAAAATGGCAACATTTCAGGAAACAGGTTTAAAAATTCTACGAAGGAAATTAGGCTCTAAGTTTTTATGCTTTTAAATAGGAGAGTTACAAAATTTCACATAGGTACATGTGTTTTTTTAATGTACTTCATGTTATTTTTACGACTTTCATTTCAAAGTCAAAGTCAAAGAATCATTTATTCAAAAGGTAAAATAAATTTACACTTGAAAACGTCACATTTAAGCTACTGCTCGTTCACTACGCTGACTTCCCTCAGAAGAACGAGCAAGAAACTCTAGGGATTGCTCTTTTCAAATAAACTTAACTATGGATTACACTTTGAATCAAATTTGTGTGGAATCTAGAGCCATGTCGTTTTTCCATACATCTTTATCTAACACGTCTTCAATTTTGTAACATGACTTTTCAATGAAAATATTTTTAATGTACTTTTTTCAGCTTACGAAATGATAACCTTAATATATGCTCCGGAATCTTATTGTAAAAACGTATATAATTCACAATAACAGAGTCCGAACAGTTAGTCGCTTAACCTTGGTTAAACGAAATTGTGATACCATGAGTTTGGACTTAGCTCTAAGGTTAATATTATGGTTATCTTCTTTCTTTTATGTGATACAAGCACTTTTGATTGTTACAATGTTATGATGTGTGAGACCATTTCTTAAAATTCTGTTCAGGATATCAATAAACTACCTACGTATATTGGTTACTACTTGGAGACGTTCACCGCCCGAAGCTCTGTGATTGAAATTCCGCAGCTCTTGCTTTTGGGCGGTGATTGACTCAACCCTTATTGACTACGGCTTACATGTTTAGTTATTGTTACTTTTAGGCTCAATGTACATTGCGGCGGAACGGATTGTGATTTTGATGAAAGATTTTGGCTTGTATCTAGTTTGTACGTTACACAATGACAATAAAGTTCATTACGCTATGTACAATATCGTTACAAAACTTCGGATCCATTCCATTCCGCGCAATATAATATGAGCCTTAGTGTAAGTTGTACAATATGAAACATCAATAAGTACACGTACACTCAAATAAATATACCACCTAGAGATTTTCAATTCTAAAGACTTCATATAGCCTTTTTGTTCATTCATTAATAAGCATGCACCTTCCTGGCTACAACAAATTACAACTGAATGCTTCAATGATCAAGCACATAGGCATTATGTATTTGATTGCGTGTATACTGTGCTATTATGAAACACGTTGCATATGATTGGTCTTTGTGTGTTATAGAATTTGTTGAAAAACCCCATTACATTGTTTGAAGAGAAGCTAATTAAGAAATTACAGTGAAAGTTTTGGTAATTATTAAATGGACTAGTAGTACCTTGACTAATAAAGTTATGTAATTAGGAAAGTAACATTTTTGGGAATGTGACAAATTAAACTTTTTTTTGTTTCTCCAATATGGTGTAAAAGTGGTGTAACCTACATTCAATTGTTTTCTTCAATCTTACTTTAATTGATACTAAAGTACCTACATAATTATTTTATATTTGGATGATATTTTCATGTATAATTTTTTTTATTAATATTAAAGATTTTTTTATACAAATGCGGGTGAGGTTATGAAAATTACAAGAAGCGTAGGGATCTTAGAGTATTTTTCTTATAATAACAGGTAACGGAACGAACAAGTCGTGCTTTAAAGCTCTGAGTGACACTGCAACTGTTATGGACAGGCGTGACGCTTACCATTAGGCGCACGACTTGTTCGTCAGTTAGTGTCATAAAAAAAGCTTTAAATCGCAAAGATAGAAAAGAAAGAAAAGTCCCATATGACTGTAATTTCAACATACTCATTCTTCTCCAGGGAGTCTCACGTATCAGTGAAATATTTAATCAATTTGCGATATCAAGTGTAAATTCCTTACCTACGTAGTAATATGTGTACGAATATGTAGATATAATAATATGAAGTTTAGAATTTTTGAACTTAATCCTTGCAGTTCCCAGATATTTAAATGATATTTACATAAACATTTCTTTATACTTAGTTAAAACTCGATTTGGTAACCAAGTAGTTATATACAGACACGTAATACAGACCATGTAATTTAGCATAATTATTATTGAAAGCCTTGAACAAGTTGTATGCATTACATAGGCAAGTAAATGAAGTACACACAGTATGGTTAGACAGGGTGTAAGACAAGAAATTTAAAAAAATCAAAATATAAAAAAGTAACAAAATAAATAAATTCTTACTGTGCCAATATATTCATCTTTCTTTTTTACCTAGCATTTTAATGTTATTACAAATATTGGCTTAATGACGGTACCGTGATTTGAAAAACATAGGATTCTAATAATAGGACTAATGTAATATGTACTTCTTTCTTTCCACAATAGTGGCCTGTCTCAAAAACACAAAGCAAAGCCGACAAAAAGCTTGGTGACTTATTCACAGTACAATTTACTTCATCACAAGTATACTAAATTAGAATAAGTTAAAAATAAGCTATATTGGCTTGGGTCACTATTCTCGAAAAGCGGTGATACAATCACAAGACTAACAACATCAATAGTGCAACATTTTTAAACAGCGATTAGAATCAATTGTCAATGTCAATTTGAACAATTTAAACTATTAACAAAAACTCAAAAACCGCTAACAACACGGCAGTGCCATATATTTTAGTGGATTAAGTATAAATATTTGGCTGAAGGGTGACATATATATCGGCGATTCCGTGGCCGGTTACCTGACACCAAATTGCGCCACACATCGCCCACAAGTGCAATACGGGTGTGTAGATTAGTTATTTAGTTTATTTTGTCATATTATATTGTATATATGTTAGTCCTTAAGGTATATATTATATGGTCATTTGGCCTGAAAGAAATGTCTAAATAAAAAATATGAAAAAAATAGTATAATACATTTCTTTTTAATCGCGTTTTCAGGGGGGTCCTAGTCATAGCAAACATTTTTCGTACTAATGAAAATCTTTCAGACGTTCAAGGCTCGTACTGATTATGTACTTTTGTCGGTAATATAACATATAGGTACACAATATAATATATAAAACAAAACACAACCACTTACTTAGCAGTTTTCAGCACAGGATGATTGCTGCCTACTAATTTCCTCAAATGTAAGGCGACGTTTGCGATTTCGTCGCTCAAAACCCAGCGTAGGCTTAAAAACGAAGTAGGGTATCCAACGATCTTCTCTGCCTCGCTCACGGCACGATTCCAGTCCGGTTTCGCGTTGTGTTGAGCAACACCGAATTGCGTACTGCTTGTGCTCAACTCCGAACAAGGTCCTCGCAGTTTCAACACCGCTACTGATGGGCAAGCTTTCACTAAGTCGCATCTTGCTAAACACCTCAACCTGCTCAAACTCATCTTCGTTTTTCTGTTTACAACACGCAAAAACTTAAACAAACTACAATTGCGAAAGCCTGAAAATATTAACCACTTCAGCGATCACTATTTTGGCAGAATTGGAAATGCAAAGCACTTATAGAACACAATAAATGGAAACAAGAATTTAAAACAAACGTTAAGTTTTTTTGTAACTCGTTGCAAATTCTACACTTTACGTAATTTACGTAAAAATTAAAAGTTTTGTAAAACAAAAACTTCAATTTTGTTTGACCACCACTTCTTTCGCGCTAAAATCACAGACTGATATTAAAATGACAGATCAGCGGATAGCCGAATGATTATTGAGGGGATAGTACGAAGCAAATGAATGAAATCCTTTAGAGTGACAGCAATCTGCTGTAAAAGGTTGCCATTTTATAAATTTTGTCGTAATTATTTTTTTATTTAGTACTTTGTAGTAAGCATTGGTCGGAAAAAGGTGTTCCACATATAATAGATACATGCATAGATACAACTACAAGGAGCAACATAGAGTTGTTAAAACCACTAAATATTAATTAATTACTGTTTCGAATTCCGGATTCCCGGAAATGGTTTTACTGCAACGTGGGACAAAACTACTGACCTAGGAAGTCGAAGTTGGATTTTAAAGTAATTATAATGATGCCATGCAAAAAATGCAGTAAACAACTGGCTTTTCACCAAAAGAGAATAATAAACTAACGAGATTGGGCACTTTCGGCTCCTTCCTAGCTTTAAATACCGCATATTGACGGAACGGCGACATTTGCTAGAAGAATTTAAGAAATTTATTTTTTCCGAGCATTGGTAATAAGTCAAAAGGGAGAATTTTTTTAAATCACAATCCATGCTCATATTGGACTCATAATAATAATAATAATAATTTATTTAATTTAAGCCTTTTACAAGTAATGGTGTATTATAACTAAATAAGAGCTAGTTTACCATGTTTGGCTTGTTAGTAATTGACTCAAGGTTATCTGTCCCCTGACTTTCAAGCTAGGCTAACCTGTGTTATGAAAGACAGTGGTTCGGTTATTTAACAAGTTTACAAGCATATTTAAGGTGCAGTATAGAGAATATTAATTAGTAAGTATTCTCTATTGTGTGTGTGTATTTCTTATTTCAATATTGCATCCTTATATTTATTGTAGACTATTTGCATCGCATCCATTCAAAATTGATATTTATTGCAAATATATTTATTATCATTAAAAATTAATAAATCATCATTTTTTTCATCATCATCATCATAAACCCATTTATGTGTCCCACTGCTCGAACTAATAAAACTATCATCGTCATCATCATCAACAACTTAGGCACGTTAGACTGCTAGGTGTAGGTCTTTTAATTAAGGGGTTAAGACGTATACTAGTCGTATTAAGCCGATTCGCCGCCGACGCAGATGTACGGGCTCCTCGCTAATTGTCTCTAAACATGATCAGTCGTCGTCGGCATTCGTACAGACGCGATCAGAAGTTCGCAATAAGTAGATTCGTCGCCAACCTTTGTCAAGTCGCGTTCGTACAAACAGATGCGAAATGCATAACATCTTTTTCGCTCTTACGTTCATGGAAATAAAGTTTTTTCTGACCGGCTTAATGCGATTACGCGTCCATAACTATGGTTTATCCCCAAAGAAAATAATAATTAATAAACTATACTGCACATTAATCGAAAAAACTGAATGGTAAAGACCTTTTGATAGAGATAAAATATATATATATATATATATTATACACTTCGTTAGGTATTTTGTACATAGCATTGTTAAGTTCTCAATCATCAAAGGTTGTAATATGCCTGTATTCTAAGTATAAGTATAATTGTTAATAATAGTGAAATTCTTCCTAAATAAACTTGTACCTATCAGATAAACCAACATAAAATATTATTTTAATGTTAAAATACATTTTATTTAATGTTTTCAAAACGTAACGATGCAGAATGTGAAAGTATTAGGTTCTTATATTGGCAACATTAAATTTTTGTATTCACCAATCAGAATTCGAATATTTAACCATTCATTTCATTCGATTAATTTCCATTCGCTTGTTCGAAGCGATGTCGTTCATTTGTCAGTCATTCGCGCATTGCCGGCCGTTGTAGTCGACTATTGGGGAGTCACTACGTCTTGCCGGAATATTTTCAGTGTTCGAAGTCCTTTCAGATTTTTTTGCTATTCTCTTGTTGCTTTCTGATAACACTTGTCTGTGAAAGTGCCGACTATTCATAGTGTTGTCGCTAGACACAGTTTTGTTAATCTATCGAACTTACTCTGAGGTGAGATATTACTGGATTTTTTATTTATTTTTACTGTCTGCATTTAGTTCTCCATAGCAGACGACATTGGCGGTTCGGTAACACGTGTGCAAACGTGGTGCAGACTGTAGAGCTGCGCGAGTCTGCGTTTCCCACATGAATTGATTCTTAATGACATAATGTACCACAGTTTCCGTGCTGATAATGCGTCTTGAGAACGATTGGTACCGTACAGGAAATTGTATCCTAATAATTTATCAAAACACAGTGTACGTCCTTGGATGCCGCTGACCGTACCTTACACATGATGATGATGGTTTGTTTACCGCTAATAATAGTTTATAATGGGTTAAGCTCAAAGGCTTTCCTAAATTAGTCAGACATTTCGCATTACTTAAATTAACAATTTGAAAAGAAAAAAACTTAGCTACAGTACCGCATCTCAAGCATTAAGTGTGAAGTCAATGGAAAATTTCGTCCAAATTTTCCATACACCAATAGAACTGGTTTTATGATGGAATACCCATTGCTTTTACTTTTAAAGCTAAGATTATTTCATAGCTTTTTTGCAGTGGCAGAGTATTTTTTTCTCATAATGTTCTATAGGCAATCTAAATGTCTAAGCTGCCTTGATTACAGGAAGTCTATTGGAATGATCTTAAATGGCTACTGAGAGAAAAAAATTTAATCATTTTGGCTACAAATACTACCCTAAATAATCAATAAATAGTAAGTAGTAGTAATTCTGTATTTGAAAATAAGAAAAATAACAATTTTTTTTTACCTATACATTATGTTATGATCAAATTACTGGCACATAAGACTTGTGAACTGAAAGTCTCGGGGTGAAGGGTGCAGTGACAGTGCCCCTCAGGTATTTGCGATTTAAAGCTCTGGATGGCACTGTAATTGCTATGGACAGGCTTACCACCAGGCGCACAACTTGTTTGCCTGGCCCCTTATGATAAAAAAATAAAGAATGTTCGATGGACAATGTGTATAATAAGCCCTTTAAATCTTAAACAGAAATCCAACATTTTAACTGAAATCCGTACTTATCAGTTCATCAAGAATAAATTGGGCATTGTACTGTATCAGATTAATAATAATAATAATAACGCACACACACAACATAGCCCTGCACTAGGGAAACCCTGTGTCGTGGGTGCCATGGACAAACATAGACAACCACAAATTACACCCAAACTCACGAGAGAAATAAATGTAGGCCATACAAATATTTCTCCCGGCCCGGGAACCGAACCTGGCACCTCTGCGTGGCAGTCCGGCATGGTAACCGTTCGGCCACAGAGGCAGTTAAATAAATTATAAAAATTATAAAAAATATATTTATTATTTATTATTATAAAGAATATAAAGAAAAGATTATAAAGTATATTGACATAATACACAACATTATTGTATTATATTTCGCTTCCTCCTATGTAAAAAATTGAAAGCCCAAATTCACGATTTTACAGGTGAACGTCTTTAACATATTGATATGACTAAACATATATAACTAATTTAAACATAATATAGCAATTTTTACAGTATTGCAACTAAATTTGATATATACTCATTATTTTTCAGTCTGTGTAATTTCACTGCTTGTGTAATAGATCTACATAAAAATACAGTGTTTGTATAACAAATGCACACGCATTATTTATGTGTGTTTGTATGAATCAATTTTGTTCATATAGTTTTTATGTGTGACTAGCATTTATTTGACAACAGTGTAAAAAAGTTTTGTAACTGTAATTATGCAATTTTGTTCTGATTTTTTGTGCCTTTGGGATTCAGAGAGAAGTTTTATCCACTCTATATCTACTGCTTGAAGTATTGGTAAAAATCGGAATTATATTTTAAAGTATATTTATTATTTGTTGTTACTTGGAACCTTATAACTAAATGACAAATTAACCAAAGAGACGTTAAACCTTCTTCTTTTTAATTATTGGCTGTGCGCTTTTAAGATTATGCCTGTGTCACATATTCTGTTAAGTAATTTTATGGGTTTTAGTAGGTTCTGCTATTCAACAAGTTTTATGGGGGTAGCTTGTTAGAGACTACTATCTTACGTATTAAATTTTGAATTTAGGTGTTGCAGATCTGCAGGCTTATTATTACAAAATGTGTGTTACATAGATAAAATTTGAACTCAGGTTGACATGGCTCTATCTTCAGTAAATGCCATACCTGACAATTTTGTGTTAACTGAATGAAATTTCCAATCTTCCTCAGCTTTCGAAAGAGAATATTCAAAGATGAGCCTTAATGGCTGTAGGACTGAATGCCTGTCAACCTAAAACTAGCAAAAAGAAAAATTCACCAAGACTTGGCTTAGGTTGGTTTTAAATCTTTGCCTTTTCCTTAATTGAAAGAATTTAAAGAACAACAATACTAGTATATAGTAGAGTACTCATCATTGTCTACAAGTTTTGAGTAAAAAAATGTTTAATTTTTTTTTATATAATGACGCGTTTTAGGCCAATTAATTGCCCGTGAACTGTTTTTTGATGCACACACTCATACCGTGTGTGGGAAGACTAGCGAAACCCTGTATCGCAGGTGCCATGGACACGTCTATGTGTGTGTAACCACAAATTACACTCTACAGGCCATACAAATAATTCTCTCGGCTCGGGACCCGCCACAAAGGCAGAAACATAGAACGAATTCGACATGAGCAACAGCTCAACATGTAAAGGAACAAACTGAAAAGTAATGCCCTGAAAATTGGTCTAATGTTAGCTATGACAGAAGGGTATTGTTGTAAATTTTAGATAGATATATATACACTTTATTGCTCGCACACAAAAAAAGAACCAAAAATACATTTTAGACATAGACAACTTAGGATTAGTGTGGGCAAAGGCTTATCGCTGAAAGCTATCTCTTCCAGACAATCTTTGACGCAGAGGAGAACTATACAGAGAGGGAGATGTAGTGTGCCAATGGTAAAAATATAAATGCATTAATAAAAACTTACATTATTATAATATTATCAAATAATAAATAACCATATTATATACGTTCATGTAGTATATTGGTATACTTATTTAAGCTTGCACTAACAAATATGCAGACTAAGTTGCAGACCAAGACCATACCATAAGTGATTTAGAATGTCGGATCTCTGAAGTGAGTTTGTTCCATAATTGTGCACTAATTATCGGGAAATATTTAAGTGCATATCAGAAAACTTGATACCTATAAAATTATGTTCATTGTTCAAATAACTTTCACTCTAAAAAAATATTTCACTACAAATAAATGTCTAACAAAACTAGTATCAAAAATAATTTTAAAACATGTATCAAAACTAGACGTCTCTTAATTTCTCATTGTACGACGAAAGTGTTCATTTATTAACAAAAATATGGTTTATATAACAAAAATACTTATTGCACATCAATTTAAATTAACTCCAAATGAAATAACAATTTTTTTAACAAAATTACCGTAATTTTTCTCAAAAGTTGCTCCACAAATTATCTTCGTTTGTACAATGACTACAACGTACAACAAATATATTTATGATCACAGACATAAGATATATGTCTGTGTTTATGATACAATGAATAACACATATTGCATAACATTATTTCAAAAATGTCATCTGATTTACTGAAAATAATCGAGACCTTTTATCTCTTTCGCATACAACCATGAGTCTGGTACAATATGCCCAAGTAAAGCACAAGCTAGAACTCTGTGCAAATGAAACTACTCTTATTTTTTCAAAAACTATAAATGCAAACAGTCATATTATAGGGCTCGCGATCAGGCTCGTGTATGTGGTACTACCAGCAGACTCCAAAAATACTCGAATCGGGCAGAAAAGGAAGCGTGGACGTCTTGCGAAAGCAAGACCCGCATTAATAATTAAATAAAAGTTTTTTTTTATTAACCTATTATGTCACACTGCTGGGCAAAGATTAATAGAAGTTTATTTATTTATTTTTTTATTATTTTCTGCTTTTTTATTTTAAGCTTTGTGGGTGATTTTCTTGTAAGCAATTCATAATATTGGAACTAAATTGTACCTTTACTTGCAAATACAAAAAAATATTAAGATTTTCACGCATTAGACTTTGTTTGCATTGTTTGTGTGTAATTCCAATTTTTTTTGTTGATCTTGTTATGGACAAATTTTACAATTAGACCATTATGTCAAATAAAATGGTGTCTCATTGCAAGAGACTGATGTACCCTTTTAGTGAAGTAGGTATATTTTTTTCCCATAAATTTGTTGTCATACATTTGTTGTATGCCAGAAATATGTGATATGTTTTTAGATGTTAGATATGCATTGCGATAAAATGTTGTGCTTTAATTTTAGTACATAATGCTAAATTAATTTTTTTTTTATGTATTTTGATATGCAATCAATACTTTTGTTGGGGAAGTGGTATATTTGGTTGTGAAAAAACTTACTTTTTTGGTGAGTGGTTAAATACTACCCTTAATTATCTAACTTTAAAGTTTATTGTACTTTTAATGTTATAGTAAACATGATTATCTATTGTGTAATACCTATACTCATCAAATATGTCCAATAACCCTGCTGTAATTTTGTACAAATAATCTTTACAATCTATCTACAATAAATCTACAAATAAATCTTTAAGGTCACCTTAATTAATGGAAATCTTATCACTATTCTAGTGATAAGATATTGTTTCTATAATACAATGGTCACAGTTTTTAACTGCCTCTGTGGCCGAACGGTTACCATGCCGGACTGCCATCCAGAGGTCCCGGGTTCGATTCCCAGGCTGGGAGAAATATGTGTATGGCCTACATTTACTTCTCTCGTGACTTTGGGTGTAATTTGTGGTTGTCTATGTGTGTGTCCATGGCACCCGCGACACAGGTTTTCCCTAGTGCGGGGCTATGTTGAGAGTGTGCGTTATTATTATTAGTTGTGCAAATGTTCCATTATTGTAAATACTTAACCATCTTACATTATCATTATACATATAGAAGCAGAACAACTTGTATCACATACAAAC